TGATCCCACGATGTGTCGTAGTTGTTCGATTGATTTTTCATAATTCTCATCATATTCATCGCAACTTGCGTCAAGCCAAATCAAAAGAAAATTTTGTAGAATCCGATCAAGACGACGCGGGTGTGCAATGGTTGGATTGCTGGTCGTCATCGCTAATGGTTCACTAGTGGTAGTTGCTTTCGTTTGTTGATCGCAAACAATCGATGAGTTACTCAATGCAGTAAGTGAGACGCCGTTGTCTCCTCAAAAATAGTCTTATTCTTTCCTTTTTTGTTGGCACTTACTGCTTTTTTGGCTGATTGCAATAAAGAGAGGGACTTTTGTAAGAATTTGTTATGCTGATCGTATGTTTATGTGTTTTTTTGTATTTCAAAATGACTTGATTCTCAGCCACCATTGGTTGGAAAAAAAATACAATGCAAACCTACTAATGGAATATAAAACATATTATTGATCTTTCTTATTTTCATTGTTTTTCTTTCATTTCACTTTTCTTTTCGCACTCCGTTATATTTTTTCACTGAGCATTGCATTAAATAAATAAAGTCTCAGCGAATATACAAAACAGGCACTAACCATAATTATTAAACAAATAATTTTATTAAATATATACAAGAAAATTCAATGCAATTTTTCTCCTATTTCAGTACCGAGCCAGGGTAAAAATTTTGAATAATATTGTGAACAAGGCAGAATACTTTTCAATTCTCGTTTTTTTTTCTATGTTTACATTCGTTTTATATGCTTGAGAATAAAGAAGCCCTTTTCAGCATCCATTTTCAATATACATCTGTAAAAGAACAAACGCACCGTGGAGTGTGGGTGTGAGTGTGGGTGTGGGTGTGGGTGTGAGTGTGGGTGTGGGTGTGGGTGTGAGTGTGGGTGTGGGTGCGGCGTGAGGGTGTGGGTGTGGGTGCAGGGTGAGGGTTTGGGTGTGAGTGTGGGTGTGGGCGCGGGGTGAGGGTGTGGATGTCGGTGCGATTAAAAGGGAGACATCCACACCCACATCCATCTACATCCATACCCACACCCCACCCACACCCACAGCGACACTCATCCACACCTACCCTCTGTCGTTTTAATACTTGAGGTGGTGCATACCTGTGTATTTCACTCGTTGACAAAAACTTTTAATATTTAAACTGATTAGCTTTGAAAGCCGCTCTGTATTGATTAGCATATATTACTTTATTAAACTCGGTTCACTTCTCTTATTATTTTTCTGTTTGGCAACTGACAACTATCGATGTAACTATTTATATGTTTTGTTTTACTTTTCGACATATAGAATTTGTTTCATCATACGAAAAATAACACTTATCAATAATATTCATTTACTCCGTGTCTATATTCAAAAAAGTTTCAATGGAATTTTGCTTCAAAGATAAAAATCAGACGATCGTATCCAAAGAGTACCGAGAGATCCAGCTACATTATGGTGGGTGAATATTGCTATGGCAATGGTACAGAATGATATCTATCTGTACACTTTAGAGAAAACGAAACAAAATTCAGCTTTCAGCTTGTTGTCAAAAAAAAAAAATGACAAACAAAACTTGAAATATTCACAAGGCAAAGGGAAATCATTATTTCTCATCCACCTCCTTATAAAGAATGTTCAACAGGCATCCGCTTAATTGAAAAAAAAAGCAAAGCGCGTTGCATTTCTCCGTTTCTCTGTTTACCTTTTTTAGGGAAATGTAGTCAGCAAAACTTGAAACAATTTCTTGAAAAAAGAAAAAGAAATTTTTTTTTTCTGTCTGTTGTCACTCCTTTGTAAGCTTCAGCAGCTATCAATATAAGAAGGAAAATAGTAAACTAAAATAATTTGCTCGGCTTCTTTGTTCACTTCTGCGGAGAAGAAAAATGACGAGAAAAACTTGAAAGTCTTTTGGAAAAAAGAGCATTTTTTTCTTTTTGTTTCTTCTTTAAAATATTTGGCAGGTATCGGATGAGTGAAGTAAAAGAAAGACAACAACTAGTCATTTTCTTCTGCTTCTGTTTAAAATAACTACGAATAATTATAAATTTAAAAGAAGAGCAAAATAAATTAGATTCCAGCATTATGATAAAGTTAAGGATCATTTTATATATGAGGCAATGACGAAATCGAAAAAATGTCTATTGGACAACATGATTCAGATTTCTCGTATGATGACGTACACTTGTGCGAATAAATAATTGGAAGCGTCTAAATAAAATAATATAACGGTTAAATCCATTGTTAGAAGATTCATGAAAACTAATGGAAAACATTACAATGAATATATTTTGGTTTATACAAAAAGTAGCGGCAATATTGAGAATAATTCCACAGAAAAGAAAAAGGAAACCCTTTTTCTCATTTCATCGCTATTAGAAATTTAAAGACACCTGTGTAGCATTAATATTAGCAAAAAGAAAAATGTAAAGTAATCGAGAAATAGAAAAATATTGAGTAACACGCAAGAGCAATACCTTACATAGAAGAATACTTACGCTATGATGAAAAATGATTCACTTGATAAATAATTTCTTATCAAAACCATTGACAGTAAGATGAATATTGTTTAGGAAAGACGAAAAAAAAATCCTTCATTGTTAGTTAGGGAGATTCTTGTGAAGACCAAAAGTAAACGAGATATTTAATTTTCTGAATTTTTTAGTATGTTTCAGAAAAAAACGCTCTCCTCCAACCAAATAGTTTTCATAATTCATCTTATGATAGATTATTCAGAAAATACTATAACTTTTTTTTTTCTCAATAAAATAGAATAAATGAAAAATCGACTAAGAAAAATAGTATCACTTTTAGTAATCTTCCAATTTATTGTGAATTTCATTCTTTTTCTTCGTTTTTGTTTTTGCTTAAGAGCCATTTCACTTAAGCCACAACCTTTTACTATAGAGGCTGCTCAATCGATTTTTCCCAATTTCGATTTCACATACATATTTGAAAAGTGTACCAATTAGTGAGCTTTTTTGTCACTAAGCGCACTTCGATAGGTCAAATCGTTACTGAGGAATTCAATTTTTAATTTTAGGCCATTTTTCTTCAACTCACGATGTTGATCTACCCTTGTCTATTGAGAAGTGTGCCATTTTTGGTTGAAGTGACATAGAATGATAAAAATTTCAGGATAGATACAAATTGAGTAGCCCTACAAAACAAAACAACCTCGAGTTCTAGATGTTGTTTTATGGCCGAGTTATAGATGTCGCTAGTAGCTGAATTTCAACAATCGATATCTGTTGCGTAACCAAACCATTAAGGCTAAAACTTTTAAAATAGATACTAGATCGATGAGGCTATATAATGATCAAAAGAAAGCTTCAGGTAGTGAAACAGAATCCGAGATATTGATTTTCTACGAAAATTCACTGCATTTTCGGCTAGTTTTTACACATTTTCACCCAATTTTTCAAAGAAAAACTGGAAAATGAGCATCATATTCGGAATCAGAATCAAAAACTGAGTCTGATCATGTAGTTTTCATAGAAAAAAAATTTATCGAAGAACTCACCTGGGCGGTACCACCAGGCTGACCAGATCTTTTGATTTTTCAGAAATTTTCTGATTTTGAACACTTTTTCTGATGGCTTTCTGGTTTCTGATTTTTTTCTGATTTTCCTGACTTTCGTTTCTACCGTTGCAAATGTGCTAGTTCGTTCTCACATGAATACTCGAATTATTACTATTGATCATGGTGGTTAGATCTTCTGAAAAGTCAAAAAAGTTCGTAAAATTTGAACATTTTTCTAATTATTTTCTGATCTTCTGATTTTTTTGATTTGGTTAGTTTTTTTCTGATTTTTCTGCGAATCTGGACGTTTTTAGATCGTAATTTTGTTAGTAAACTTAAGTCCAATTATAACTCACTGCTAGTTCAATATTGTGTCATCTTTTATCTTAATAGTCTGTAATTTGTGACTTTTACAGCTACTAACGGACATTTTCATGCACTGGTGAATCTTTATCAAATAGCAGTAGCATGCCCAAGGGAGTAACTGTAAAGGCGCTTAGGTCGCAGTCTTCTTCTAAAAATTTTGTTTCTTTTAGACAGCAAAACAGAAAAAAGTTCTTTTTCAAAGGCGTTTAGCTACTGGATTTATATGAATAGTAGCATTAAACTCCTCTGCGTTCGAAATTTTAAGATCTTAGGGATTATGCCCTCTGCTTTGGAGGTTTAGTTACGTTCCTGAGTACGCTGGATCCAGAGAAAATCTGTATAAATATCTTTTAACTCAAAGATATTTATCAAAGCAAAATCGAACAAACGAGAAATATGAATAAAAATAACGAATTTATATTATTTAACCTTTTTCTCTTAGTAAGAGCTCTGAACATGGATGCTACATATGCGACTTGTTGCTATACCGGTTTTGAGGACAAATTTTGCATATAGTGGAAAAGAGTCCGACTCTAAGTGTTCTTTATTATTTTGTATGATCTAAACTATATATTATTTGTACTGTCTTTCTTTATTATGAATTATCTTTGAAAATAATGTGTGAGTCATAAATAGAAACCAAAGAGAGCATTTTATGACAACATTTTAACGTAATAGACACCAGTTTGCAAAAAAATTACCTTTTCTGACTATTTTCTGATTTTGCCAAAAAAATTTCTAATCGTTTTCTGATTTCGAAAAAAAAATTTCTGATTTTTAAGTTTTTGATCTGGCCACTCTGGTGTCGATGTGCATGTGGATGTGGATGTGAGTGTGGATATGGTTGTATGCATGTTATATCACGCTATTGGCATTCACACCGACCCCCACACCCGGCTTTTGCTTGTGACTGGAACAGCAATGTTATAGTTGGGAAGGTCTTCTGTTCGTAGATCCGTGTCGCCTTTATTTGGGATGCACCTGCGACCATGTCCAACCAGTCCGGTGTGGTCTGCTCTGCATGCACCCACCTTAAGCGTACAGGGGTCTTCCTGGTTGTGTGCATGTATGCCAAAATGAACCGAAAAAAGTCAACAGCAATTCAATTTATTGAGAACAGAAGAGAAAAAGTTACATTTCATTTCGAATTTTCTCAAATGTGTCTTTATATTCTAAAAGATGTGGATGAGTTGCAGGCAACTTTTCTTGAGCGATTTCTATCGCTTGTTGAACATTCTTTATTGCTATACTATATTGTCGAGAAGCCAAATATAATTTTGCCAAATTGTGATACACAACAGCTAAATCAGGATGTTCTTTTGGTAAGTTATCCTGACATATCTGTAATCCTTTTTGAAAATATGTCAATGCTGTTGAATAATCTTTCATTTCTCGATAAGTTTCACCTATATTTATATATGTCAGTGCACAATCCAAAGGATTACATTGCTCATTTTCTTGAACATCTAATGCTCTTCTATGAAATGAAAGCGCCTTTTCATAATCACCCATTAATCGATGAATATCACCAACGTCACTATATGTAGTAGCTCGATCTGGATGACTCTCGGGTAAGGTATTTTTACGTATTGAGAGACATTTTTCGAAATTCTCAAGTGCTTTTGGATAATCTTTCATACTGCGATATATCTTTCCAAACCATTTGTATGGGAAAGCCAAAAGAGGATGATTGGGTGGCAGTGATGTTTCTCTTACTTTCAATGATTTTTTGTGAGATTCAAGTCCTTTCAAGTAGTCACCCATATTGAAATACACTGAACCGATGTTATTGTAGGACAGGGCCAATAAGTAATGATTCGAGGGCAGTGATGTTTCTCTTATTTTAAGTGCTTTTTCGAAAAATTTAAATGCTTTCGAATAGTCACCCATGTTGCTGTATGTGAGACCGATGTTGTTGTAGGAAATAGCCAAACTCGGATGATCCGAAGGTAAAGCTTTTTCATAGATTTTATGTGCTTTTGCGTAATATTCAAGTGCTTTCGAGTAGTCACCCATGTTGTTATATGCGAGACCTATGTTGTTGTAAGTAGGAGCCAATGAAGAGTCATCTTCTGGTAAAGTTTTTAGTTTTATTTTCAGAGATATCTCATAAGACGAAGCTGCTTCTTTGTATTGTCCTTGGTCGTTTTTCAAACACCCAAGCTGATGATAGATAAACGCTTTATCACCATGTTCGGAGGCTTGTTGTAGTAGTGCAGTATATAATTCTTCGGCTTTACCAAATTGACCTATTTGAAACAGCAATTTACCCAACCGATACCATCCAGTGCTACCCGTTGTTTCTTGTCTTAGACGATCGGTTAATTGACGAAGTTGTTGATCGTCATCTGCCGTAAGTTTGAGGTCCACTTCATAAAGTTGATTTTTTTCACCAAACTCTCGAACTTCACCAATCCGAAAAACTGCGTGCATTGAGAAGAGTATTTCATCTTCTTGCGCAAAATCGCTCAGCTCTCGAATAGAGGCGAATGGAGTCGAAGATACTTTAGGATCGATGGTCATTTGGAAAAGAACACCGACTATATCATCTGTTCCTAAGATGGGCTTGGCAAAATTGAGGGACACCTTTCGATTTTCACTGGTGGATAAAAAATTATTGAACGAGATAAGTCCACCTTTGTTTTTAGTGATCTGGTTGAGGTTTGCCATCACTAATTTCTGTCCTCGATAAAGAAGAAATGGCTTACCATGATATTGATCAATTTGTTTCCTGTGTAAGTTTTCAATTTGTCGATGGATATCACATAGAAAAAATCCCATTCTGATGATGATGTTGCCATCGAGCGTCCATAATGCTCGATTAATCATGTTGTATGTAAAACATTCGCGGGTATACCACCAAATAGCCTTTGATGAATGATAAGTACTTTGAAATTCTTCAATAACTTTGAGCTCTACTGAATTGTCTTGATATTTTTCTTTGCAAAAGCTGACCAAATCTTTAATGGCTTGTTGATCATGTTTCATGTCAAGGAGTATTTCCTTGAATATTTGAGTATACATGAAGGATGGTTCTAGCCGATTGAGATCTTCACTAGAACTTCCTTCATTAGCACCAATAATACTGATAGTTACCTGGTCTCGATTACATTGCTTGACGGCCATTGCTAGTGCTTCACATATGGGCTTGATTGATGTATGGATACCTTTAATTTTTGTCCAGTTTTTGACCCATTCTTGATGACGTTGTTTGTCTCTGCAGAAGATGTATATGGCATCTAGTTTTGGCATACTATGAATAGCTGGTACGAGATCTTGCCCAAGTGAACCCGAGGAGATGACAAATGATATCTCCGCGCTGTTTTCGTGAATCTTGTCAATACACTCCTCGACTGTAGTACATAGGTTCACTTCATTAACAACTGCACGCAATTGTATGAGTGCATTTTGGCAATCTTCATTTGAGATGTTGATATTGCCGTCGACCCAGAACACTATATAATTCTCAGCCACTTGTCGCCGTCGTTGTCGACTCATTCTCGATTTGATATTATGAGCCAAAGCGCTAATTGATTATGATGAATAGTTGATTGCTATTTGGATCAAGTTCGCCTTTTCTATATATACAATAGTGGACAAAATTATAAGAACAGACACTTTCTTAGTATATTCGTTTTATTTTCATTTATGTTTTTGCTAGTTGCAATGACTTTTGCCTCTAGACATATGCATTGAGATGTGATTTATCCAAAACTGAGATTTGATTTCCTTGTTTCAAATGTTAAGTTCGAGATACTGCATGTTTATTAAAAATCACGGTTGTTTACCTGGTCAAAATTATAAGAACAACGTAGTGTTTTCTTTTTCCTATTTGAGAGAGACATCATTTTCATTCGAAAATGATATAGATAGATAGAGGAACTCATTGTGAACACTTTCATAAAAAATACTTTTAAAATTGGTTTATGTTTGGATTTAAAATTGGATTTTAGTGTTCAAGCAAAATTAGCTTAAAATGGCTGAAAAATGTCACTCTCGTGCACATTTTTGGCTACACAAACTAAAATGTAGCCGGAATTGCTTTTTTCAGAGGTGTGACGTATGGAGAAGATTTGGGATATGGGTGTGGGTGTTGGTGTTGATTTCTTCTACACTCACACCCACACCCAAAAATTGCCGCTCTGTTGTTCACAGAACTTGAGTATTATATCATAGCTCGCTATGGTGCGTCGGTTCGATTTCGACACAGAATGATGGTTATTTTTTTATGTTTTTGGGGGCAAAAAATAAACACGTCACGACGCGTCCACCTCCTACTGCATCCAAATGCAACAAAATCCGAAATCGTGTCGTAATCGGTCTGCAACATAGACCAGTTTGTACGCGCTTTAGGTTTTGCATGTGTTCACACGTCTAAAATTGTTGCATTTTGGAAGTGTTCAGACATGTCTTTTGGAATAAACGAGTTGTGATACTGTTAGCATTGGAATAAAGAAAGACGCATTCGCCCACTGTGAACGTGTTCGGAGACTCGAAAATGTTGCATTCTCAATGCATTTTAACCCGTCAATTTCTATAACTCATAGGCGCTCACGGACGTGTTCAAGATCGAAAAACGGTCACGCGGGTGGAAAAGAAATATTGAACAAAACCAATCTTTTCGTTTATTTTTCGCAAAAATGACGAACAATGCACAGAATAACCAACCGAAAAAAAAGCAAAAAGGAAAGTGTTCTTTTCATTCAATTGCTTCACGAAAATCTCGAGCAACTTTCAGAAAAAGTAAAATAGGAAAAAATTAAGCAGACTAACTTTCCACGTTTTTCTGTCAGATTTTTTCAGAAAGCGACGAGCAAAACTTTTAATAACCAACTGAGAACAAGAAAAGAAAAGTTTTTTCTCATCCCATTGCTTCGGTGAAGTCTACGGAAAGTATAGAGATACCAGGGCTGCCAAATCTCCTGATTTAGCCAGGAGACTCCTGATTTTTAGACTTTTCTCCTGATGAAAAAATCTCCTGAATCCAGGAGCTGATTTTTATGATTTTCTCCTGATTTCTCCTGGTTTTTTAAAGGATTTTGTCACGTTTAATTGTAGTGATATTTTGAATCAATAAGACAAAGAAAAAGAGAACTATCACACTATTTCATAGATGCAATAGACAATGAGAAAACACGTCATTTCTGCTTGTTATGCCTGATACCATGCGTTTATTTGTGAGCTTATCTTCTTGACGGTTAAAATGTACCCCATTTACAAAAAGTAGTTTAGTTCGCTTTTTCTATATCGACCTAGAATGCTATTTGTGAATTGACCTTCAGCCACATGAAATTTTTGTGGGCTGATAATAGAAACGATTTGAAGTGCAATCTTATTGGTGCATAATTAGGAACTAAATGAATCATCGTCTCAGTTGTACAAAGTTCTATAATCATCTTTTAAATAATTCAGACCTATTGAAACAAATTCAGTCTTCAGAAAAATATGACGATGTTCATAGGTGGCGAAATGTTTTGGATCTAGGGTAGGCTCAACAATTTTTTACTGGATTCGCACCAGAAAATTAAAAATATGGACTAAGCCAATTTTTTTGATGTCATCTTGATGAAACAAAGCTAGTATTTCTCATTTTGAACTCGTATTTTGTAATGTATGACGCTGATAGAGATAAGAAAAGCATTTGCAACTTATCAGTCAAAAAACGTGCATTTAAGAAAACATGTTGATGATTATCTTCATTGACTTTCAACTCTCATAAGAATTGTTTTCCATCTGCTGTGCTAAAAAATAAAATAATGTCCAAGCAGCAATGTTCACGAAAACGACATTACATTATGAATGTTTTTATTGTGTTGAAAAGATATTTTTTCTGCGGGAATATTTTTCTATACTCGTCGTTTTCTTGCTCCATTCCGTATGGTAATGGGAACTCCATTAAGTATTGGTGTTCCCGCATTTTTTCTCGTATTTACCTACATATTCAAATACATGTATGTAACAGCGTTTTATTTTTACGTAACTAACCTACTGTAGCTCCAAACATAATTATATTTTTAATTTCAAGTCGTGTCACGGTTATCTTAAAATCTAAAAATAAAACAGGAATATGAATTCCTGAAGTCTTACAATTAGAAGTGTAAATCGCCGAGCTGAGTCGACGCTGTCGGTGGGACAAAAAACTAACAGTTTTGAAGATTTTTCGACGCCTGAGATCACTCTTCAACGATGTTTCTGTCTAGGTTTTTTGTCAGTGTGTTCTCTACCATTGTTTTCTCTTTTCCCATCCGATAATTTCTCAGAAATAAGAAAACCTTAAAGAAATCGTCCAACAAATTCACTCGTCTCCGCCGACAAGCAAAAAAAGTTGAGTATTTTCAGTCGCCGCCGAAAGAAGAAAAAAATAAAATCACACTTACACATCACCGATCTATGAACTGGTTTACGCTTCTGCTTACGGAAGTGAAAATAAATTTTTTTCTGGGAATAAGAGTGTAAGAACAAGGATAACAATTTTTTTTCGAGAAAGACAGTGTAAGAACAAGAATAACAATTTTTTCCGAGAAAGACAGTGTAAGAACAAGATAACAATTTTTTTCCGAGAAAGAGAATATACGGGCGAGAACAGCAAATTTTTTCTGAGAACAGAAAGAATAATCGAGAAACGTTGCTCTCATAACACTAATAATCGGGTGATGTAAACTTAGTCGCTAAAAATGATGAAAGTCTTTGGCAGCTACTAGCTGATATGATTCAAGTTTTTTATGCAGCACTTCGTCACTTTTAACGAAAGAACCCCACTTTAAGTCATGGCTGACTCAAGATTGGACATTTAGCCACACAAAACTCAAAGTTTTCTCAAAAACAGTTTCTAGGTCTGTTTCAATAAATGTTACTATTTGTTGTCGATAGCGACAAAAAATCTTGACGTCTGTTCAAATTTTTTATGTACTGCACAAACCTATCAATTTGACGTAGTAGAAAACAATTATTTGAGCGTACCATAGTCTATGGAATCTGAACCTTAGATAGGCTTTAGTCTACTCAAGCCGTGTGATTCCATCATCTACGAATAGACGCTATCTAAGCCTTCATTTATTCCATTCACGAGTTTACCTAAGCCTTTAGCTGTCCAACCTAGAGTAGGCTCGAGCATACTCAGGACTTGTGACCCCTTCGTTCATGGTCATGTTACAAAAGTGACATGAACGATATAGTTAATAAATTATTGTTCATGTATGCCCATTTTGTTTAGTTACATATTAATGTCTAATTAAACTTCATTTTCTATTTTGTCGGTATATTTTGATAAACCACTGTGAAATGAGTAGTAAAATAAATTCCACATAATTATGTTTTTTTAAGAATATATATCACTTAGAGGAAATTTTGTCATCAGTAACTTAGTAGAAGAAAATAACGAGTGATTAGACGAACGAAAACTTCAGGTTTCTTTGAGAGAAGACCACTAATTC